ACAGCTGGTGCCGGGCTCCTGAGCCCAGCGAGGGCAGGAAGGTCACTGCTTGCTGCCTGGGGAAGGGGCCGCCTCAGCAGGATGGCCGAGTCCGCTCGGTCCACCAGGAAGGAAGGGCTGCAGCCCTGCCCTGGCCTCCTGGGCTCCGGGCCGATGTCACCGTCCCCTCGGTTCCGGGCCACGCCTCCCTCCCCGGGCCACCTCTGCCGGACGGATTGATTCTGGATGAATATTCAGGCGGCATTTCAGCCAGGGCTAGTCATTAATATTCCAAGAAAGCAGAAAGGAGCGACATCGCATTCTCCTGTGTGAACAGGGGTCACACGCACGGATGGGGACGTGGCCGGGGCCTTGCCGACACTTGCATCAGCCTCCGGGGCTTCTGTCTGAAGACACTGTCTGGTCGACCCACCGACCAACCGCAGGCAGGCAGGCAGCACAGAAGCACAGGGTCCAGAGGGGGCAACGGCGTGGGGGCTGCCCGGCCCCTCCCACTCTGACCACACGGCCCTCCAGACCGCGAGTCCCCCCGTCCCAGGACGCTCGCCCCGCATCTGTGGCCCTCTCTGTACTGAGGATGCTGAGGAAGGCCCAGCATCTTTGGTCTCACTCTTGGGACCCACAGAGCAACACCTGCCTGCCCCAGCACCTAGCCAGGCTGCCTGGCACCCTGGGGGTCCTGGCTTAAGCCCTGCCCGACTCTGGCCCCGGGCCAGTCCCCACGGGTGGCAGCGCCCGCCCCTTTCAGCTTGTGCCTGCCCCAGGGCTCCGGGTCACCAGGGCCAGGGTGGCAGGTGCCCACAGCTGGCCCAGCCGGGGTGGGAGAGCTCTGCCCAACCCGGGCTCCTGTGAGCTTGCCTGTGGCTGGGGTGCTGCACATGCCATCTCTTGGCTTAGGAGGACGAGCTGACCCTGGGGCCACGGCGGTGGTGCCTGAGCACCCTGCCGTGGGTCTCTTCTGCCTCGGGCCGTGGACGTGCCTGGACCGGGGGGCGTCTGGCAGCCCGCCCGCCAGCCCCTCCCGGCATCTCTCTGCCACCCCCTCAGGCGCGGTGCGGGCCACACAGTGAGAGCCACAGCCACCCTGCCGGAGGCCCCGTGTGACACAGCTGCCAGCCTGCCTGGGCACGCTGCCTGGCGGAGCTGGGGGAGGGGCAGGCCCACGGGCGCTGAGTCAGCTGCTCCCGCGTGGCCCCGTCCCCGCCCGGGCAGGGATGCTGGTGAGGTTGGGGGTGGAGGGGGGGCGGCTCCCATCTTTCGGGGAGCTGTCAGATGGCTGGGGATTTTCTGGAAAGTGGCTCCTGCAGGAGCCAGGCCTGGAGGGGCGGTGGGGGCGGGTGGGGTGGGTGGGAATGAGAGGAAGGGCCTTCCCGGAAGACAGGCCCTTTCCAAACAACACCAAAAAGGGAGAAGGGAGAGGACCGGCCTGAGTGGTGGGAAGGAAGCGCTGAGTCAGCACCGAGCCGGCCTCCCTCTGCCAATCAGGCGCCGGAGGGGACAGGGACTCTCAAGGTCAGCGGACGTCAGTACCCGCGGGCGTCCCAGGGGACCGCCCTTCCTCTGCTGCCGCGGTGGGGGGCATGCTCCCCCAGAGCAGGGGGGCGGGGAGGGGGCGGCCGCCTGCCCCGGCCACCCTCCCGGCGGGGGCGGCTGTGCACTCAGGAGGTCAGGGCGGTGGGAGGACATGGCGGTCTGAGTGTGGTCTCCCTCCCGGGGCCGCCAGAAGCGACTCTGGAGCCAAGAGGGCATCTCCGAGGGCGCCTCATCCACCCCCTTGCCCGGGGGCTGACTTCCTCAGATAAACCTCTGGTTTCTACAGATTCCCTTCTTGCCATGACCCCTCTCCCGCAGCTGCCTCACTTCCCACGGGCAGCCCCTCCCACCCTGCGGGCCGGGGTGCTCCTCAGAGCGAGGGCTCCATGGCTGACCGGCCAAGAGGGCCCCAGCACCTGGTGCCAAGGAGGCCACCACCCAGCCCTCAGGCCCTGCTCTGTGTTCCAGGGAAGCGCCTCCCCCGGCTTCTGCCCCAGCCTTGACCTGCTGCCCTCCCTGCCCAGGGATCATGGCTCCCGAATCTGACTGTCCTCTCTTCGCAGGCCACAGGCCCCCGGTGCCCCCTCTGAGTCTCCCACGCTTGGGCGCTGACCGCTGCTGCCTCCCAGGCCTCACCCCCCACCCCCGCCCCTCACTCCCTCGGGCACTGCTCCTCCCCTCCCCTGGCCAGCTTCCTTCTGTGTGGCCACTGTGCTGCCTGCCTGCTGTCCTCAGGCGTCCCTGATTCCCAAAATCAAGGCCCACCATCTCCACCACCAACACGCCAACTCGCCCAGAAAGTGGGGAGGCGGCCAGGCCCGGTGACCTGTGGAAGCCGCAGAAGGTGGGCCTCCCCGAGGCTCGGGCGCGGTGAGGACAAACCTGGGCCGGTGCTGCCCGCTGGCACCCGCTCCCCATGAAGCCAGCGCACCCAAGAGGCATCTCTCTCCTGGCCGGAGAGCATCGCCCCACCCAAGCCTCGGCCAGTCTCTATCTAACAAACCTTAAACCTCCCGAGGGTCCTCCGGGACGTCTCGAGGACCAAGGCTTCTGTGAAGATTCTACCGACTCTGCTATCAGAAGCTAAACCCTAAGAGGACTCGGGTTGGTTTCCACTGATACATCAAGCCCCCCACAATTCCAGGGATGGCAGCGAGGCTGCCCTGTCGTGGACCCACAGCTCCCCTTCCAGGGGCGCTTTCCGGCCACCCTGGCTGCAGGAGAGGACCTGCTCCTCATCACGGGAGCCAGGGAAGCCTTCACTCAATAAAGATAAATAAGAACGTGCATCTCATTTTTCCAATTGCTTTTTGGCTAAACAAGAACTGTAACTTGGGTTTTCTGCCAGTATTTCCCCTGTGGGTGTCCTCTCTGAAACGGAGTTCACACTGTATGCACAGGTCCGAAGCCCATGGCCATTCTGGCCCGAGAGGGCATGTCCTGTCTTGTAAGGACCACGCACATGGTTGTTGAATTCAGCCTCACCACCCTCACCAGGCCCTCCTCACCCAGCACTGGCCTAGTCTCGCGGCCGCCCCCGCCGAGCCCCAAGGCCAGGCGCCGGCAGTGGAAGACCTCACCTCCGGGCACGGAGGGACCCCTTCTCCAGCTTGGCAGTGGCTGCTTTTAAAAGCTTCCCACTGTACTTAGGAAAAAACGGCATCTGTGGTGTTTCGGGCTTGTTATATCCTCTAAAAAAAAAAAGGTAGAAACTTTTTGAGCTGTAAACAGTCACGCCATCAACATGTTAAAAAAATAAGTTTAATGCAGGTGGCTCATTTCATAAAGAATTTCACAGGCACTGAGGACACACGCGGCGTGTCCGCACTGCTGCCACCCCCAGCCCCACGGGCACGCGCCCACGGGGGGCCTCAGAGTAACAGGAGTCAACCAACACAAAAACAAAGCTTTTAGGAGACAGCATGATTTAGTGCAAAAGATTCTCTGCAGCACTGAGAAGTGGGGTCCACGCCGATCGGCTCCTCGCCTGCCATCCAGGTAACTCGGACAGACTCGCTTCCCACTCCCTCCGAGGAGCCCACCGCTGACCTTGAGTGGACAAACGCCCGACAGAAGCTGACTACAAATAAAAAAGCACGGCTTGCAGCCAAGTTATTTTTTGCTTTCTTTACCTGATTTGGGTTTTTTCTTCCAGTGGCACACAACTGCCCTGACAGCCCCCCTGGCCACTAGGCAGCCTGGCCAGACAGGGCTGTGGGGACAACTTGGGGTGGAGCAGCATTAGCCTGCCTTTCGCCTGCCCGTCTGAGGCCTTAAGTCCTGCCTCTGGCTGTTCTCCCAGCTGAATCATTCAGAGTGCCCCTCGCCTGCCTACCTACGAGGCCCAAGGCCACCTGGCCTCATCTGATGGAGGCGGGGGAGGGGAAGGGCAAGACTCGAGCCCTTTGGTATGTTCTCTCTGCAGTCGGAACCGCCCTGGCCCCCTGGTTCTTTCCTGGCCCACATTCACTCTTGCTCTGACCCCCAGCTGCTCTGACAGCTGCCGAGGCAGGAACAAGGGCCACCGAGTCCCTCACTTGAAAGTCCAGCCTGGGGTACCCACGACTCCAAGAGGTGTTTCTTAAAGCACAGTACTTGGGCCGCCTCTGATCTCTGCTCCCGACACGTCTTAATCCTGGATGTTCCCTCCAGGGAAGAGGCTGAACCCCACACCCCCCCTAAAGCCAGAAATACACTGAGTTGCCGGCCTCAGAAAGTCACACTTGAAGAGATGACGTCATCTGGCTGACACTCTCAGCAGACCTGCCCAGGAGGAAGACAGGCGTGCCCTGGAACCAGCACGCCCCCTCCTGATCTAGCAGCCTGCCAAGTGAACCCCGGTGACACGGAAGCCCGGTCTGGGACTCAGGACGCCTCACAGGGTAACATATGGAGGACAGTGTGTGGGTTGAGCCAGGACTTGGTGGCCCAGGGCGGAGTGAAGAGCTTGGTGGCAGTGCGGGGCGTCAGCTGGTGGAGCCCGACGCTTCCCTAAGGCTGGCGCAGGGGCTGGGGGTGCACCGGAGGGGACAGTGCAGCTGGGAGAAGCCCCCTCCAGGCCTGCACCTGGGCACCACACCCCTCCCAGGGACCTTTCACACCAGCACTGCTGATGCCGGTGCCTGGAGAGGGGACAGGGACCCAGGCTCTCCAGGTACAGACTGGACCGACGGGTCCCCTCTGGAATTGCTGGGAAAGTGCAGGTGGAACCACAAGCAGGTGGCCCCGGGGATGCACACAGAGAAAGGCTGAAGCAAAGACCAGAAGGAGCGAGGGCGCCAGCGTCCCCTTCACAGAAAAGTCTCCGCTCTTTCCTGTCCGAGCCGGAGACCCAGGCACGCGGGGAGGTCCTTCCTCTGGGACGGGGCGGAAGGGGCCCTGACCGATCCCGGCAAGAAGAGCACCCCTCGCTGGTGCACCTACAGCCAGGTCGCCACCAGCCGCCCCCAGAGGAGCCCGCGGCACCCTCACATGTCCACGAAGACCATGAAGCACCAGCCCAGGCCCCCGACCAGCAGCATGGTCACGTGGATGCCATAGACCAGCAGCTCGTTGAGGAGGCGGAAGTCCACGCGCCGGCGGCCCAGCAGCAGCAGCAGCGCCGACAGCTTGAGCTGGAAGCGCAGCAGGACGCGGACACCCAGGTACTGCAGGCAGAAGAGGGCGGCCAGCGCGCCCCACAGCGCGGCCGTGAAGAGGCTGCAGCTGAAGTACAGCAGGAAGCGGATGAAGCCGTAGAGCCAGCGCGCGCGGACGTACACGTCGAAGTTGTTGTACTTGGTGCGGGCTGGGCGCGAGGCGCGCGCCGGGCCGCAGGCGGCGTGCAGGCAGGTGGTGTGCGGGCCGTGGAAGGAGCGCACCCGCCGGGGGATGGGCATGACCGGCATCGGGTCCGGGCGGCGGCGGCACTCAGCATAGGCGTCGTGGGCGCCTGGGCCTGGGCGGCAGAGGCTGAGCACCGGGGGAGGCGGGGGCCTGCAGGGAGAGCGACACGAAGAGGAGCCGGGTCAGCCAGGACACAGCCAGCCTAGGGCTGCCGGGAGACGGAGTCGGGGACTGGAGAGTCACTGAGTTATCGTTTTCAAAAGGCTGAGGACACTCTGAAGGGACTCACAATCACGTGGGAACCAAAATTCCACCAGTGACACCAGGAAGAAGGGTCAGGACAGAGGGCGCAGACCCCCCAGTGCAGTCAATGCTAAAACAGGAAAGGGCCAATAGAAACCCCGGCTAACGTCCCCCTCCCCAGAGGCCTGGCGAGTCCCCTGCAGTGGACTGGGTGTCTGGCTTTTAGCTGGGATGCCCAAGGCTGCCTGCTCTTCTGTGGCTGCTTTATCCGGGGCAAATAAGCCCCGGGCTGGCAACCAGCACAGAACAGGAAGCGGGAGATGGCGCCCACTGGGCTGACTGGGTCACTCTCTTTAGCGACTTGACAGGCCAAGTGCTGGGGGTCAGGCAGCTGGCACAGGGCTCTGCGCTCCCCCTGCGGTGCCTGAACCCTGGTGCTGACCTTCACCAGGAGGAACCGTGGGCAGGTCACCTCACCCTCTGAGACCATTCCTGCTCTGCACCATGGGGATGCCAGCAGCACTGGGCTCCCAGGGGAGCTGTAGGAAGCAGGCATTACTGGGCAAGGGCTGCCCATGCCTGGAAGAGGAGGAGATGGCAGCCCAGGGCTGGCCAGTGGTGTCATCGCAGGGCATGGGACTGGACCCCCGGAGAGGAGAAAATAGCAAGTGGCTCTCTAGCTTTGCCTAGCAACTGCCCTTTATAGCTGTGCCTGGGTCGTGGATGGAAAACACAGAACTGGAAGTACAGGATGCGTAAAATCGGAGCGGCAAAGTTAACGACAGGCCCCGGGGAGGCGCTGCCCAGGGCATCGGCCTCCCATCACGTGGCGTGCAGCCTGGGGGCCTGCAGAGGGGCTGGTGCTAGCTAGCTCCCTCTCCGGCCGCCCACGTGCTGCTCTGGCCAGAGCGGGAGGAAAGGGGAGGCCGGGCGCGTCCACCCTCCCCGGCGCACAGGCCCAGCCCTGCCCGCAGGCTGCGACCAGAACCAGGTCTGACAGCATCTGATGGCACGTAGACCTCGGCGCTCCTGCGGGGTCGCAGCCGGGGGCGGGCTGCTAGCCATCCTCCCGTTGCCCACCTGGCCGCGAACAGCGGGTGTGCGCCACGCGTTTCCAGGTGGGGGGCCGGGGCGACACCCATGCGTCCCCCCAACCCCCGCCCGCCCAGTGCTAGGCCCTCGACCCCCAGAGGCAGGGCCGACCCTTGGCGGCCCTGAGAGCAGCCCCCGCCCCGCCGCGCCCCGCCCAGGCACCCCCGCCCGCTCACCGGCTGCCCTCTCCGCGCCGGCGTCCCGTGCCGCGCGGCCCCCTGTCCCTCGGGGCTCCAGGAGCAGGGCGGCCTCATGGTGCCGACGGCGCGGCCCGGACCCTCACGCGTCCCCGCCCGGGGCCGCCCCGAAGGGACAGGGGCTCCCGCGCCCGGCGGCCGGCGGCGTTTGGCCCAGCGTGGGAGCCGTAGCGCCGTCCCTCTGCGGCCACCGTAGGACTTTCCTCACACACCCCCACCCTCCGCCCGCGCCAAAACGGACAGAGCCTCCCTTCCCCCTTTTCGGCGTCGACCCCGAGCGGCCGGAACTCGGCGCTTGCCCCCTGAGCGTAAGTGCGTGCGTGCGTGCGTACGCGCCCGGCGCGCGGCTCGTGACGTACCCCCGGACAACACCGCCCCAGGTACCCGGTCGGCGCCTCGGCCCGTCCTGCGCAGGCGCAGAGAGGGGATCTGCGCTTCGGAGTCCGCCCCCCACCCAGCTCCTCTGCGCATGCGCCTCTGTGCCCCAGGCTGTGGGCAGTGCGCAGGCGCGCGCGTTTGGGTCGGTGATGGTCGTGCGGTCTGTGAAGGGCTCTCGCTCGTGGTGCAGCTGGTGTCGGCCCCGGCCCTGCGTGTCTGCCGTCCGGCGAGTCTGAAGCGGACTGGGGACAGCACTCAAGGTCCCCGAATGCAGGGAGTCAGGGCGGACTGGTTGACACCACGCACCCACAGATGTCGGGGTCCCGTGTAGGGACCCACGGAGCCCTGGGAGAGAGAGGATGTCGGTGTAGACGTGTTTTAAGTATTTTAATCCGATCGAGGTCAGGGTAGGAGAAACTTAACGCTCCTTGGATGTAGTCAGCAAGTTCACCTGCCTGAATTCTGTCGGGTGTGGAGAACCTGTTTCCACACGTGGAAGAAGCTGGTTGCACCCCCAGCGCCTGGGGTCCTGCTCTTGGTCGTTGTTTTTGCCACCGGTTGCTCTGCTGCTGTTGCTGCTGCTAAGTCACTTCAGTCGTGTCCGACTCTGTGCGACCCCATAGACGGCAGCCCATCGGGCTCCCCCGTCCCTGGGACTCTCCAGGCAAGAGTGCTGGAGTGGGGTGCCACCGCCTTCTCCGCACCGGTTGCTCTAGTAGAGGCCAGTTCCTCAGACATCCTTTGCAGAAGACAGTTGGGTGTTGACCTCCCCTTGGCTGACCCTCCAGGGCTGGAGCCCCTACCTACCAGCAGCGTCACCAGGCGCGCAGGTCCTGACCCCAACCAGCCCTCGCCCCGCCCTGTCCTTGGGATGGGTCGCGGTGCTTGGGACACACATGGTGGGTCTATCCCTTCAGCTGCCGCTCTGCTGGTGAGGAAAGTCTGACCGTGTCATGGTGGAGAGAGGAGGAAGGGGCCCAGATCAGGTCAGGGAGCAGCAGGAGAGGATGGGGGAGCAGAAGGGTATTGTAAGAAGGGATTCTGAAACTGCATCTTCTCTGTGGCTGGCCCTCTGCAGTTGATCCCTGCTTTGTACCCTAACCGAGGGTGCTGGTATTCTTCCTTAGACCCGGGTCCAGCCCTGTCCGTTGGAAACGCCCTATCCAGTCCCGCTCCTCAGCCCTGTAAGGAGGCCCCTTTGCTCCTGCCCTTGTCCCTTCACACTAGCTTTTTTTGTCCCTCTGCCTGTCCTCCACCCAGTGAGCTCCTATTCACCCTTTAAAACCCCAGTCACTATCCCCACCTCCGGGAGACCTACTCCAACTGTGTGCCACCCTTTCCCTGCCCCCCCACCCGCCCAGCACTTGGTGGGAGTTAGTGGTTCTGACTAATCTCAGCCATACCCTTTCTCCACCTCAAAAGCTCAAAGATCCGGCTGACAGATCAGCCTCTCCCACTGGCTCAGTTTCCTTACCATAGCCCACACAGTAAGATAGATGTCTCTCTATATCATGATCTAGTCCACACACGACATGATTAAACAACTCCAGAAGCTTCACAAACTGTACTTCTGACCACATGCTCTGCTCCGTTCTGTTGTTTCATTCAGTAGATGGGCTGGACGCCCCCGTATCTGCAGCCCCACCACCGCCAGGTCTGGAGCCACGAGGATGAAGAGGAGGCTGTGTCCTCAGGGCCAGCTCAGTGGCAGGGCTGGGGGAGACCCCCGACGTGTGCTGCGATTTTTCACAGGCTGCCCCTGGCGGGGGTGGGGGGCCATCCAGCGAGGGCTCCCTCAAGCCTCCATCCTCCCAGGCACCCCCTCTCCCCCTCCCCCGCCCCCACGTCAGGAGGACATCTGTCCTGTGGGCAGTGGCCGGGCGCCACCTGCTGGAACAGTGCATGTGGTGTCACAGAGCCAGGCCTGAGACCGAGTGAAGGGTCCAAGAAGGGCCGGAGTCCCTCGGGGCTTTGAGGCGTAAACCAGGGCACCGCGGGCCGAGTCCCCGCAGCTCCTGGTTGTCTGTGGCGCTGAGTAGCCTCCTGCCGCAGAGGCCCATTGGCCTGCAAACCCTCTACTCTCTGCCTTTGCAGAAACCTGGTTCGCCCCCGCTTTAAACAAGCGTTTGTCACACGGCTCACAGGGACTGGTAGACGTGCAGACCGCCAGGTTGGGACGGTCTTAGCCACCCCCACCCTCCACTGTCCCTGTGCTCGCTGGGGAGCAAGGATCCGGTCACTTCAGGGGCCAGACCTGGAATGACTCTTTGCCACCCAGGACGGTAGAGGCTGTGACCCCTGACATCAGGCTGCCCTGCAGGTTTGGGTGTGGGGAGGGACTGACCTCTCTGCAGTCATGTTCTAACTGTCCAGTCCTCAGGCAAGGCTGGTGTGACTTCCCACCCCATGACGGTGGGTTTAATCCTCACGAGTGTCCCAACAGCGTAGTCAGGCATGTTAGCCTTCAGCGATTGGGTAGTCCTTGTGAGCAGTCCTGCAGTTGTCAAGAGACAGACTACCATATGACCCAGCAACGCCACTCCTGGGCATATAGGCAGACAAAACTCTTAATTCAAAAAGATCCCTGCACCCCAGTGTTCATAGCAGCACTACTCACAATAGCCAAGACATGGAAACAAGTAAACGTCCATCGACAGAGGAATGGGTACAGAAAATGTGGTGTATGTATACTCGGTCATAAAGAAGAACGACATGCCATTTGCAGCGACATGGATGGACCCAGAGGTGATCACACTAAGTAAGTCAGACAGAGAGAAAGACAAATACCATAAGATATGTGGAATCTAAAATGTGACACAAATGAACCTATCTGTGAGACAGAAGCAGACTCAGGAGCATAGAGAACGACTGGCGGTTGCCAGGGGGAGGGGTTGGGAGAGGGCGGGAGTGGGAGGTCGGGGTCAGCAGATGGACGCTCATGCAGAGAGTGGCTAAACAGCCAGGTCCTACCGTACGGGACAGAACTACAGTCAGTATCCGGTGATAAATCATCATGGAAAAGAATATTTTAAAAAGGGATATTAAAAAAAATGTGTGAAAATGATTTTGTGCTCAAGGGAATAAAACTGACCACCACCACCACAAGAAAAGAAAAGCTGGAGTCGATGAACTCCCTCCCCTCGGCTCTGGGCTGCCTTCGTGACCAGGTCCTGAGGCTGAGTGACACTGCGTGAGTCCAGGGCGGTGCAGCTTCATCCTCAGCCTCGGGGATGCTCTTGGAAGCCCCTGTCGTGGCACCATGAGACGCAGGCCCACGTGGGGCACCGGGCCAGCCCGTCATGGGAGGCCCCGGCGAGCCCAGCCTTGCGGCATCCCCACGCGGGCATCAGACCTGTGAGTGGGAGACTCTCTGGGGGATTCTGACCCCAGCCCTTTGGCTCACTCGTCCACTTGGGACTGGCCAGCTGAGCCCCCAGGTGGCACAGAGCAGGGAGGCCCTGTCTGCACCCTGTGAGTGTAACTAAACAGGTGCTATTTTACAGCCCCAGCGTGGGGAGGCGGGTCACAGCCCCCAGTGGTTTGAGCGAACATGTCATTTCAAATCCTCGTCACCGCCTTCAGGGGACGTCGTCTTGCCTCCACTTTACAGATGGGGAAAGAGATCTTTTTGTTCAAGTCAGGCCTGACTCCCAAACCTGGGATGAACCCACCCCCAACGGATGGCTCACACGTGGCATGCGGGCTGACCCGTCTCCTCCAGACTCCCTGCAGGCGTCACTGTTTGGCGCTGGTCTCACTCCCTTGCTGGTCCTTGGTTACGGAATCCCAGCCTACCTGGGCGGCATCTCTCATCCCTGATGTGACCCCTCCTTTACCCCCGTGAACCCGGAGAGGACACCGTCTCCTCCAGGTGGACTCTGGCCAGTATGTCACGGGGGCCAGCTGAGCCCCCAGAGGTCACCACAGACACGCGCATGGAGGCGTGTGCGCTCAGTCGTGTCCGACTCTTTGTGACCCCATGGACTGTAGCCCTCCAGGCTCCTCTGTCCATGGGATTCTCCAGCCAAGAGTTCTGGGGTGGGTTGCCATTCCCTTCTCCAGGGGACCTTTCTGACCTAGGGATTGAACCTGCGTCACCTGCAGTGGCAGGCAGATTTTTTTTCACCACTGAGCCGCCAGGGACGCCCCACCACAGACCAGTGGACGGCATTTGCGGAGGGCAGTGCGGTGTCAGATCGTGTGCTGCTGCAGCCCCATCCGGCCTGCCTGGGCTCCGGCCCACCAGTCTCTAACTGTGGACAGAGGTCCTCTGTCCTCTGTGCCGCTGGCTTGTGTCTCTGAGGTAGTTGGGGAGGGGCGCAGGGCCCCCCTCCCGCCTCGGCCTCCCCTCCTCCTGGTTTCCCCACCAGCTGACTGTCCTCCATTCTTCTAAGTCCAAGGCTGGCATGAGCTGGCCACTCGGTCTCAGAGTGGTGGTACCTGGCAGAGAGGCCTCCCGTGCCCACCCTCCCATCCCACCCCCTGTAGCCCCAGTGCCTGGCCCACCACAGGCCCAGTGCTTCTTGCGTTGGTTGGTTGGCTGGTTGATGAAGTGCCTGCCCTGTACTGGGCATTCAAAGCTGGGGATACGGGTACGGGGGGAGTGGCCTCAGCCTTGCGTTGCCCAGTGGCATCCATGGGCATCAGCTTGCCCGGCTCCAGTCCCGCCCACCTGGGTGCCCAGTGTAGGGGTAAGGGGCATTGGAGGGAAAGCAGGTTGAGCTGGACACTGGCTACGGGCTTGGGGGTGGCAAGGGGGCGGGCTGGACCAGTGCCTGGATTATAGTTTATCGGTGACAGTCTTGCCCTGATTTCACAAGTGTGTCCAGCGCCCCCGCCCACCTCCCCCAGGCTCCTCGGTGGGTGGGCTAAGCTACGTAACCTCCCTAGGTGTCCAGCCTCCACCTGTGAGCTGGAGGTCTCATCCACAGTGGCTGTGAGTGAGGGACTCTGGGTGCAGAGTCCGTGCGGTGCTGCCAGGGTCTGAGCTCCCAGACTGGGACCCAGCCTCTCACTGTGGGAAGGAGGAGACCACACAGCCTAGTGTCTTGGTGGCCTTGGTTTCCTCCTGGGCAGCATGCCTGCCGTCTCACAGACGTGTCCTCCTAAGACCCAGACTCAGGCCGAGAAGCTGGCACGGAAGGCGCATGTTCAAGGTCAGCACTCACAGTGGTTCAGCCCCTTCCTGCACCCACGGCCCCAGTCCCCGGCCCAGGTTGTATTTTCTCCTGTGCTAATTTCACAAAAGACACAGCTCACAGTTCTGTTGATTGAACAGTTTTGTGCTGACAGGAGGGAAGATTGGTGGCAGAGTTATCATCCCCCGGAGCGTGGGCGATTTGTCTGGCTCCGGGGAGCCCCGGCGGGGTGGATATGTTTTATGGCTGGCCCGGAAGACAAACACAGGCATTTATATGTCACTTGTTGCAATATAAATGCTAACTTGTACTTCGTTCAAAACTTTTAATGAATTGTATACATTCCAGAAGATTTATAGGGTGAATGCAATGGCTCAAAATGTTACTTTTAACATATTTGTCAGTTTGGCAACAGCACCAAAAAAATCTGGAGAATATTGCATTCAGAAATAAATCATAAATAGATGCATCTTAAAAGAGGTTTATTTTGGTCGTTAATGGTTGATGGGCCCCCCAGTGCAGGATTTAAAGGTAAATTATGCAAAATCAAAAATAAACCTTATAATACTTCATCAAACATGCATAAAACTGTCAGGCCCAAATAAATTCTCTCAATTAACTTGCTTCAGATTGTGATTGCATTTGCTAATTTAATCAGCTCCAGAATAATCTGGAGGCCCAGAAATGATGGATGGCTGTGCGCACACGCCCCGGGGAGCAGGGCAGAGCCAGCCTGGACAGGACTGGGGGGGTCAAGGCCTGCCTCTGCCCCTGGGCGGCCTTTCCCATCCCCATCTTGGGGGCCGAGCCCGTCAGCCAGGCCCTCTGCTCGCGTCCCCATTAGCTGCTGCCCTGGGGCTGCGGTGCTGGCCTTCACGCGAGTCACCTGGATGGCCGGGCCTGGAAGTCACCACCAGGAACCACACCCGCTCTGGTCTGGCCTGGCTCCAGAAGCCCTGGCATGCACGTCAGTGGTGTGGATGCCGGCTCCTTCTTGGCCTTTTCTAGAACAAAGGGAAGTGGGACGGGCTGGGAATGGTTCTCTCAGGGTCTGCTCATTCCTCCTTCTGATTCTTGATTAAATGAAGGATTTTGAATTAAACTGTGTTTTACCCATTTCGTGGGGGAGGGTGGCAGCAGGCCGTCAGGTGGAGGTGACCCTATGCCCTGGGCCAGGGCCTGAAGGGGGAGAAGGTGTCCTCTGCTCGAGGCCTGACCCAAGGCAGGCACGGAGCCGAGTTCACCAAGTGCGCTGTGTGGTGGGGCCCCGGGCGGTCCCGTCTCCCCATCACTCTGCTTCCCGCCTGACAGAGCTGTGTGCCCATTTCTCTTGGTACCTGCCGGAGACCGTCTGGTCCAACGAGACCATCCAGACTGGAGAAGTCAGCAAGGACACCCCCACAAAGCTTTGTGCTTTAAGGGAGGACCGGAGCTTTGTGGAGGTTCTTCGTTTCTTTCTTGTAAAATCTGGTGAGTCTGTTTCGACCAGAACCACACCTGCTCCTTGTGTAATTCTAGCAGATGAGAAGGGAGAGCACAGAGAAACCACACAGAGAGGGGGGAGGCTGGTGTGCCCCTGTGGAGCTGAACAGGGATGAGCGGGTCACTCACGGCTTCAGTCTGAGCCCCTGACTGAGGCCCGGATCTCGGGACCCCACCTCGGGACCCCCACCTCACCCCAGAGCCCCACGTTTTGGCAGAGGACCCCTCTTAACCATCAGCACACTCTCTGTCTTCCCTGCTTCCCCGGCTGCCTTGTTTGGATCCTAGGGGACCAGCCTGGCTCTGCCCTGGGACACAGGAGGACACGCTGTGTTCCTTGGTGCCTGCTTCCTCCAGCAAAATGCTCTATTTTATTTTTCAAAAGTGGGATTCTGTTGGGTGCCTGGGTTTGCATCCTGCTACCAGTCCATCCTAAAGGAAATCAAGTCTGAATGTTCATTGGCAGGACTGAGGCTGAAGCTGAAGCTCCAATACTTTGGCCACCTGATGCGAAGAGCTGACTCCTTAAAAAAGACCTTGATGCTGGGAAAGATTGATGGCAGGAGGAGAAGGGGCGACAGAGGATGAGATGGTTGGATGGCATCACCGACTCTGGGAGATGAAGGACAGGGAAGCCTGGCATGCTGCCGTCCGCGGGGGCCGCAAAGAGTCAGACACCACGGAGTGACTGAGCAACGCCCCCACTTGGCCTTTCGTGAGAAACGTTTTCCACAACAGTGGACACTCTTCACAGATCTGGGGCCCCGTGTACTCCAGCGCACGACGTCCTGTCGCTTACCTCATCGGTCCTCTCTGACTGGACACAGGCACTGATGCCAGTGTTTCGGTACCATGCACAGTTCTGCGATGGACACCCAGGCACGTAAAGCTGGGTGCACGTCCATTTCACCTTCCCTTGGGATGAAGCGCTGATGCTGGCCGACTTCCTAGGGCCCCTGACAATTGCCGTGGCTGCACCCCTGCTGTCTCCGCAGCCGCAGACGAGTGAGGGGCGAGGTTCTGGGCTGGCGGCGGGGGCCCCGCACCTGAGGCTCTGCCTTTGCCACCGCTCGCCTGCTCTTGCCGATGCAGACGCAGGCTCCTGAGAATGGGGTCATGCTTGTTGTTATTTAGTCACTCACTAGTGTCCGACTCTGTGACCCGCTGGACTAAAGCCCGCCAGACTCCTCTGTCCATGGGATTTCCCAGGCAAGAATACTGGAGGGGGTTGCCATTACCTTCTCCAGGGGGTCTGTCCCACCCAGGGATCAAACCTGAGTCTCCTACATTTCAGCCGGATTCTTTACTGCAAGCCCCCGAGTGTCCATGCCTCGGAGGAAAGCTGCAAGCTGTTTGTTCTGCGGGCTTCAGAGGAGTGGGCTTCCATAGAAGCACAAAGGGTGGTGGTCTGAGACACGGCAGAGGGGGACACTTATTTGGAACATAGTGACCGAGCTCAGGATGGTCTCAGCAGATTCACTGAGGGCCACTGAGGCCAAAGAAGAGCGTGCCTCCGGGACACTCAGCCCACAGGGCGCCGAGCTCACTCAGCAAGAGATGAGGACCCTGGAAAACACTGTGCTCATGAAATGAGTCGACACGACAGACAAGGACTGTGTGATCCCACTCGTGTGAGGACAAGGTGGCGCGCATGGTAAAGAACTGGCCTGCCAATGCAGGAGACATAAGAGACTGGGGTTCGACCCCTGGGTTGGAAAGATCCTCTGGAGGAGGGCACAGCAGCCCACGCCAGTGTTCTTGCTTGGAGGATCCCATGGACAGAGGAGCCTGGCGGGCTACAGTCTATGGGGTCACAAAGAATTGGACCTGACTGAACTGACTTAGCACATGGGCACACACAAGGGGTCAAACCCTACAGAGACAGGAAGTAGATGGTGGGGCCAGGGCGGGGGCAAGGGGGGGGGACAGAGTGTCAGTTTGAGAAAGTTCTGGAAATGGATGGTGGTGACGGTGGTACAACAATGGAATACACTTAATGCCATTGAACCGTGCACTTTAAAAAATGGTTAAGTTCATATATTTTGCATTATATATTTTTGATAATTTAACTTATTCAACATGGATCTAGGTTTTTTTCAGTTAATAACTAAGTTATACGATGGATGTCCTTGTTCTGGTTTCCTTGGGGTTTTTTGGGCACATGGGATCTCAGCTCCCCAACCAGGGACGGAACCCGCTCCCCCTGCAGCGGAAGCTCAGAGTCCTATCCACTTGACTGCTAGGGAATTCTCTTGTATTGTGTATATTTTATCACAATAAAAAGGAAAAGAAAAAGAAAGGGGATAAAAACATATATTCCTAAGTGCTTGAGTTTGCATAAGAAGCTCTGGAAGTGTAAAAAGTTTGGAGGGGCTATCCCTGTGTGACGTCCCAGCCCTCACACAAGACCCCAGACTCAGCCGTCACACAGGCTGAGTGGGTGGCCTTGTGCGGATGTCCACTGAGGCGTGCATGCGTCCCTGCCGTGTTAATGCCTTTCAAACTGACCTGTCCCTCCCAATCACACCTGATATCCTTCCAGATGTTTCCAGCGGACTCCTGCAGCTGCCCCCACAGCGACTCTGAGCTCCTTTCTGCGCCTCTGGAAGCTCTCCAGCCCAGCCAAGCGTCCTAGACCTTCCAGCCCTGCTGGGGTTTGAGAGTTTAGCGGAGGGAAACCAACTGAAATGAACCTGGGGAGGGACAGAAGCTCCTGTCAACACTTGCCCCTGGAAGCAGGCCTGTGCTGTGGAACCCCGGCCCCATCCAGCTTCCTGGCTGGCAGAGACGGCAGCCCCAGCCTGGGTGGCGCTTACCTGGCCAGGTTCCTCATGGAGTCCCCGATCCGTGGAGACGCAGGGGCCCTGGACTCTGACATTCCAGCATGGGGGTGCTGTGAGCAGTAGAAGGGTCCTAGGGACTAGCCTGTTGACCCTCTGGGAAGAACAGCAAAAGCTGTGTGCCCCCCTCCCCCCGCAGCCCAGAAACTGCTCCTGGGCCCTGGGGACAGTGTCCTCCATGAAGGGACACTCCTGAGCCCATTCACCAAGCACTGGTGAGTCCAGCTTGCCCTCGGGGCCTTCCTGTCCTGGCCGCACATTTCGGGTCTCAGCACTCATGGAGCACCCTCCTCCGTCAGGGGTGGGGGCAGGACACGCACGCATCTGCTCTTATCAGTGCCTGGCTGACACTGAGACGGACCAGGGCACCTCCTTCACCTCCGCGCCCCCCCCCGCCCCCCCCCCCCCGTCCAAGGGCCCTGAGAGCCGTGCTGCCGGGGAATGCGCAGGGTCTCAGGCCCAGGACACAGGCGGCTGGATCGAGCGTGTCCTGAAGGTGGTCACAAACCGGCTCTTCTGCACTCATCTTGTGTGTCGCTGCTGCGTGGCATATTCAGTGGGGCTCCCCTCTCCCACGGTCCGGGTCTGAAGGAACAGCCTCCCACAGCCCTCCCCGCCCACTCCCAGGAGGAGTTAAGGGCAGGTGGCAGGCAAGGGCCCTTTCCCTTATGGGCTGGTGGCCCCGGCTCTGGTTCCCTTCATTTAATGGAGACATAGTATCAACTCTTATTACAGGGCAGCGACCCACTGTCACAGACCTAAGAGTGCGTGAACCGAGGTCCACCATCGTTTTATAACCGGCAGAGAAAGAAAATATACTGCCAAACACTCACCCTCCTGCCGCTAAGAACAAGGACAGCTGAGCATCTCAAAGGAGCAGGTGCGCACCTCCGCGCCTGCGCAGTGAGGCAGCTCAGCCCCAAGGCCGTGGGTGATGGAGCCGCAGCACAGGAGGCCTGGCCCGCCCCGGGGGTGGGATTGGGGGGGCAGCGGCGCCTCCCCTTCTGCTGCCCGGGCTAAGCCTGGCTGGTGCGCGCGGCGGCCGGCAGGGAGCGCCCCCGGGCCGGGATGCGCGCTCGGGCGGCGGCCGAGGTCTCCCTAAGACCGCGCGGGCGCCGGGCGACCGGAGCACGCTGGGCACCCCTGCCCACCACCGCTTACCGCGCAGGGCCCCGGGCACCCCCTGCGCACCCCGCGCGCCAGGAGGCATGCTGGAGCCTCCCGGCGCCGGGCGTCGCCTGCGCTCCCCGTTGCCGGTCTCTTTCCCAGGCCCTGGGGCGTCAGCAAGAGGAGGGGTGCGCTGCTGCGAGTCGGGTGTAGCCGCACCGGGAGCCCAGACTTTCCTTGGTGGGGGTGGGGGGCGGTGAACAGAGCGCTGATTCCAGGAGGAACTCGTGTCCCCCTGTACATGGGGACCCCGGGCGCAGGACAAGTAGGGGGCACCCGGAGGTGGGGGCGGAGGCGGCGCCAAGAGGAGGACTATTCATCCTGACCCGCCCATTCCGGGTCCCAGCCCGCCCTTTGGACCGGCCGAGAGGCCTGGGACGGACCCACTCCCTCGGTGAGGGAGGGCGGGGGCCTGTCTGCCTCCATCTGAGAACCGCGCTCCTCCGGCGGCGCTAGGGGGCGGCCTCTCCCTTCCCACCGGCTCCTGGGACCGCTGGCTCTCCGGATCCGCGGGTTTTGCGGTGGGCGGGCTCGCTCCACAGCCCCACCTTCAGCGCTGAGACCCTCCCACCCCCAGCGGCCTTCCTCCTGAAAGAGGGTGAGCCGTCATCAGGTGGGGTGTGGAGCGGGGGCATGCAGGCTTTCTCACAGGGACACCCCTGATGGGGGATGACCCCCAACGAGGCCTGGGCTTGTGTGTAGAGAGAAGAGACAGACAGACAGACACAAACACGCAGAGAAGGCAGGGGGGAAGAAGCCTGACTGCACAGGCCCAGGATGGGTCAGGCGGGGCTGGGGTCCTGGCTCCAGGAGGCTGATCAGCTAGTCCCCTCCTGCCAGGGTGGAGGCGCCCCCACCAGGAGATGGGCATTATGAGCCCCCCCTATTAAAGGAGGCAAATGGGGCTGCTCCCACGCTAGTCTGGGCCCTGGAGGCCGGCGACGCTGTAGCACTGCTGAGAATGTCGGGGGCCCCGAGGAAAGCCATCAGCCTTGGCATCAACCTTGCAGGAGCGAACCACAGATTTCCCGGCCCAGGTGTCTGGTGGGTGGTCTCCCAGCTCTGGTTAAGTGACTCCCGCTCCCCTCTCCCCAGGAGTTTGGGGCATAGCCTGGGTCTGCCCCCACCCCAGGCAACCCTGCCTCTGCCCACCGTGTCTGGAAAGCTCCTCAGGTTTGAGACACACATCTCTTAGGCAAAGGAGTCTTCCAGGTACAAGGGAGACCTGCAGACCTACGTGCCTGAGAAGGGTAGCTCCAGTAGGTCTGGGGCGAACCCCGGACGAGCTAAGAAAGGCTTCTCACAAAAGCACTTGAGTTAAAAATGACAGTGACCCCTAATGGGGTCACTTTAGGTATGTATATGTAGACCATCATTTTAGAGCAGTTACAGGTTCACGGCAAAAATTGAGAGGAAGGTACAGAGATTGCCCACATGCCCCTCCCCGCCACGTGCCCTGCCTCCCCTGTTATCTCCCACCAGGGCGAGCCATTTGTTAACAGTTGAGGAGCCCGTGTTGACAGTCACCGTCACCCAAAGTCCACAGAGTCATAGGGTCCACTCTCAGAGTCATGCGTTCTAAGGGCTTGGACAAGTATGACATCCTGTGTCCACCACTGGAGCATCACACGGAACAGTTTCGCTGTTCCATAAAGTTCCCTGTTCTCCTCCTGTTCAGCCCTCCCCTTGGCTGGTCCCCGGCTTTCTCCTTTCCTTCTGGAGTCTGTCTTGGGAGTCTGGCCAGGCTGGGTCCAGGATTCACACACTTGGGATGAGGAGACCTGGTTTTGGGGATGAAGGAATGTGCACCCTCAGGACGGGCCAGCCAGGCAGAGACCGACCACTGACCTTGGCACACAGGTCCCGAAGGCAGCACCAGCCTCCACGCAGAGGACCCACTCCTGGGAAGCAAGCCTTAGCCACGTCCTTCGGCTGGCCAGCGGGACAGCACAGTGGCCTCTCCGTGGGGCTGAATCGTGGCCATCCTGAGCGGTTCGGTTGTGAAAAGCCAAATGGGAGAAGCAGGACAGGGAGAACTGTAGGCCACTGGGAGGCAAGGTGCCCGGCCGGCTCTCGGTCAAGGTGGGAGCGCCTACAGGGGGGTCACCCAGCGCTGAGCCGTGCTGGGGAGGGGTGGGCAGGCTGCTTGTGTGTCCACTGGTGCCCCCTGGCGCGCCGCCTGGCTGGCCTCGCTTGCTGCTGTACCCGCATTCTTTTGTCGAGCGCACAAACAATTCCATACATGAACAAATGCTTTCTCCTGTGCGTCGACTGCTGCCCTGGGGGTCAGGACCGGAGGCCGTACCAGCTGGCCGTCAGAGCCGTGGGGAGACAGCGTGGCTCACCTGTGTCCCCCCTCCCACCCCAGGGCCACTTATCTGCAGACAGGGTCCCCCAGGGAGCCAGAGCTCCGCAAAGCACCCCCCCACATTTGACCAGCCACAGAACCCTCACCCCCCCTCCTGCCAGCTCGTGCTAACAGTTGGGGGACCGTCCCGCCAGGGTGGTAGCATGCCGCCCAGCTCTGGCTGGACGTGGGCACAGGGGTGAGGCACTCCATTAACATTGCCGCAGGGTCCCATGACTGTTGATATCAGCACTTCAGGGTTATTTATGAATTCATCTATTTGCCGGGACAAGCTTTTCTGCATTCGGTTGCCATGGTTGCCTTAAAGCCGGTATCTTATTAATTCTGCATGTTATGAAATAAATTTAGATCAGACAATCGCAGTGAAGGTTCTTTTTTTTTTTTATTGTGCTGTTTAGTTCTTGACGCCCAGGGTAGGACGTTTCCAGCTCGGAGTCAGCATCCATCAGGTTCTGGGCGCCAGGGCGGGGTGCAGGGAGGGGGGCAGGGAGCGGCCGGAGGGACCCAGCTGGCCTGGCCGCTCCTGCAGGGGTCCCACAGCTGGATGCTCAGAACCATCAGGGTGGGAGGCTGGGTTCCCTCTACGCATTTCAGCTGAGACTGTGAGCTGGAACCAGACCACCGGTGCCAAGCATGCAGAGTGAGGGGCCTGCTCTGGGCCCTGGGGCTGCCCAGGACTGCGGGTGGGCATTCACCAGAAACAGCACACGCCTCCTGAGGACATGAGCCCGGGAGACAGGGACTGAAGAGTCTGGAGCGGCGCTCCTGGGACCTCTTAGTCAACTTGGCTGCTTTGATTTGAGTTCCCGTCTATTAGCTGCCTAGGATGACCTTCGATCTGCCCGGCCACCTCAGGAAACACCACTGTTACACTCTGATCTACAGAAGAGATGAAAGGTTCTGTGATGGCTGGGACTGGATGCAAGTCCGTTTACTCCCTGCCAGGGGCCCTCGAGGGCGCTTCCCCAGCCTCTGAAGTGAAGCCTCCGCTTGGACCCTGCAAAGCCCCCAGGCCTGCTCCCCTGGCCCCCTGCCTCCCAGGCAGCCGCCCCTTCCTGCTCCCTTCTCCCAGTGCCTGGGGCGGGACGGCAGGCGGCCTGAGGCCCCGTGGGGCTGGTGCCCAGTGTCCAGACTCTGGCACAGACCTTCTACGGGCGCACGACAGCTCTGGCCAGGCCTGCACTTTGCTTCTGCTGATGGCTAAGATGCTGGGCTCAGGGCCAGGAGGGCGTGAGGAGCCTGGACGGGCAGGGATGGGTGGGTGAGTGGGTGGAGGGGGCCCCTGCCTGGGGCTCTGCAAGGAGCTGTAGGCACAGAGGACCGGGCTGCAGGTGGGTGCCAACGAAACCCAGGAGACGCAGCCGCCACAAGAAGCAGGGCCGGACTCGGCTGCCGTGGGGCCCTGGGCCCAGCACTGTGGTTGCCCTGCGACCTCGAGCTGCCGCCAGCTCTTGGAGGCCCTGGCCCCTCTGTCAAATGGCCAGGCGACTCCAGGGTCTTTCTAGCTGGGCCAGGAGACGTTGACCCTTTGCAGGGCAGCGCTGTTCCATCGTCACACCTGCTGTCCTGAAGCGCCACACCCCCCCACCCCAGCCCACCGTGGGCAGCCCGTCCGTCTCCCCCTCCCCGAGCAGCACCGACATGGGCTCCTCAGATGCTACCAGTCCCCCCACCCCCGGGCCAGATCAGCTCATCGACAGAGCTGGGCTCGCCCTTTAATTAAGATTCCTTTAATTAAAAACCTGGGGTTCGTTATTAGACTTGGTAATTGATTTAATTTTCTGTGGAATCCGAGTGCCAAACTCCTCCATCCTGTGCGCTCCCGAATTCCGGGGAGGGGGGTGGGTTGGAACTGGATGGACGAAAAGGAGAAGTGTCCTGGGGAGCTGCCCGCTCCCTCCACCCTCCTCCCACCCCCTTTCCACCCTGCAGCATGCAACGTAGCTTTTGTCAGTTGAAGATTCCCATCCAAGCTGCAGGCGCCCCTCAATCAGGCGGTTTTCCTGAAAGAAGGGCAGCCCCCGCTTTCCGCACTCACTGCCAGCCGGGTTTCT